AAAATGTAAAAAAAAATTTTTGATATAGTTAATAATATAAAAAATTAACATCATAAAAATAGGTAGTATTTTACCCAAATGCTATATACAACAATTTTCACTCCTGCACATTTTATCCATCGATTTCGTTTGCCAACATAGCATAGTTTGGCCGTCTTTACTTTTTTCTTTATAAATAAAAGTATTTCAGAGAGACACTGCACTTGTGAAATTAATAGTATATATAACAATAATATTTAATAAAAAAAATCAAAATTACAATGGCTTGTATGTATTTATGTATTTATTTTTATTCGTCCAGACTTCTCTTTTTTTCATCAAAATCATCGAAAAAGTCTTATGAAATTGGAAAGCGTTAGAACTGGAATCAACGTTAATAGAAAAATAGTAAGCCCCCACCATTATTAGTAATTGTTAGAGCGAAATGTGATCTTGATAAGAACGACAGCAATGTTTACTTCGAGGGAAAACATCGAAGCTTGATAATCTTCACATCAAGTCAAAGAACATATCAAAGTAAAAGAAGAGCAGAATGCTGAGACGCTTCTGTACGTCATGTCAAATTTATTAGATTATGCGTGGCTCACTATTTGAGCAGTAACATTCCAAAGACACTTCGTATTTGAGTGCTTTCCTCTTTTTGGTTCAGTTAATGTTTTATTTTGGATCCATTGTTTAGCCCAAGCTCTAATACATCTCTCTTTATAAACTTTTTCCCTCCCTAGAGACACTGCCACCAATTCACTCGCATCAACCTTTTTTCTATCATCATCTAAATGTCTAAAATACATTTCAATCGCCATTAATCTAGATTTTACGTCATTGGTTAAATTGGGGTTTCAAGAGCTTGTTCAACGGAATTTATTGCTTTTTTCCAGTCATCTTCAAGACTGACATCAAGATCATCATCACCTTCTGATACATCATTATCATCATCTGCTGACTCGTCATTACTTTCAAGTTGATTTCCACTGGAAGCTTTAACATTAAAAAAATCAGTAATCCTGGCAGATCCAATTGCAGCATCTCTCAACACCTTGGCATGTCGTTGTTGTGTTCTTACTGAATAAAAAGAGGTTCTGCTTTTTGTTGAAGTTTCATGCACAATGGTAAAATTTTCAACTTTATTTATATTCACATCCTCCCAGAGATTACTGTCAGAACTTGATTCAGAATCAGATTTAGATTCAACTTCGACTTCAATTTCAGATTCAACTTCAACCTCAATTTCAGGTTCAACTTCGACTTCAATTTCAGGTTCAACTTCGACTTCAATTTCAGATTCAGAACCCAGATCTTCATCCATTTCAATATCACCTACATATGTTGGATCACTGCTTCTTCTTCTTTTATCTTGGGCTAGTTTTTTGATTTGAATTTGTCTTTTGCTAGGTCTGCCCATTTTAAGGTAAATTATTTAGATTTTAATAATATTGTAATATAGTAATATAGTAGGAAAATGTTAAATCGG